AAATTTGTAACTATAATTTTAGAAAATAATTTTTAGTCTCAAATACAAATGTCACAAAGAATTTTTCTCTTATAATTTTTTTTTTTATTTGTAATAAGTAAAAAATAAAATACCTAAAAAATTTTTTTTGAAGTTTTTGCTTAAAATTCTAGTTGTGCTGCTTTTTAAGATGTAGGTGAATATTTAGCATATTTTTTTATAAAAGAGTTTTAATTTTCAATTAATATTTTTATATTTCACAATAATCACAGTGATAAACACTTTTAACACCTTAATAATTTTATACATTTATTCTAAGGTCAAATTATACTGTAATAATTGATTGTGCTAACATTTTATAATGATATTTTTTCTAATTTAATTCTAGTTCTGCAAAGAATTTTTTTATTTACTCAAATTTAATTTATTAGTCCAAAGGGGCGGTTGACGAGAAAGCTATTAGTTTCAAACGGCATTTTGCTTTTTCATTTAACGTCATTTCCCTTTGCAAATGTTTGCACCAAATTATCGCCTTGTATTATATTAAAGGAAGTAATAATTCGAATTTGTTTTTAATCCTTTCTTATTCTTAAACTTAAATGAATTTTGATTAAGAAACTCAACGATTCAAAGCAAGCAATGGCAACTCGTATGGAATAATTTTTTCTTCACGCGGAATTCTAAAGATATGCTGTTTTCAAATATTTTGTGATACTGCTGTTGAATTGAATTTTGTGTGGTTTACATGCGAAGAACATGATATTCAACAAATAGAGGTAACATAGAAAGCGTTAAAATACGTCCCTTTGAGCATAAAATAAAATCTGAATGCTTCCAGATTTTATTTATTTTCATTACACTGAGAAAAATTTACGCTCCGCATTTTATGAATTATTAAAATAAATAATCATCATATGATGTTAATAATTAATAATCATATGATCAAATAAATGATCGTCTTGTAATGTTATAATAATTTTATAAACCACTGCCTGAAAATGCTCAAAATTAAAAAATATATCTATCAGATCTTGTTTAATTTTGCTTTATTTGTTTCTTAGCTTCATGTACTATCATTCTTGGGTTTTCATCCGCAGAGAACCCTAGTGGGGACTTGCATTTTTACTCGCCAAGCTCGCGGTTCATCGACGATGAGCCGAGCCGTAAACGTGATATTTTGTAAACGTGATTTTTAGTGCATGTAATTCAGTTAGCAGACAAACAATATTAAGCATACGATAGTAAAAATTCACGATAAAAAACATGTAGATGAAAAAACTAACCGTTAAACGTGACATACGAAAATAATTTGTATTAATTCAGTTAGCACAGAAAAGAATATATTAAGCAAGACAATATGTAAGCATTTATAAGGAAATAAATTTATTAAAAATATAAATTAGTATTAATATACTGAAATTAACTATTAAATGTGATAAACAAAAAAAAAATTGTCTTAAATTCCAGTTAACAAGAAAACAATATATTCCTTACACCAGTTGGTTTATAATTTTGATGACCATGGTGAGCATCAACTATTCGGCATCTTAGATAATCATAATATTTTTTTATTTCAATTAATCATGTTTATGTCGCACCTGCATCTTTGAAAGGTTTTTGTTTAGAAAGCATTAACAATATATTATTTGTTAAATTGTAAGCCATAAAAATTGATTTATTCTCATAATTTTAGATGACATAACCAATAATAAAAATAAAAGAGTACTAATTATATAAAATGCACATGAACATTTTTGCGGTCTACGGAAACAAATTGTTTAGAGGTTGAAAACTCATGGTCTGGAGCTGTAATAATTAAGAACACACGTGACAGCCGTGTTCAATTAGCATTCACCCCCACGCCGTATTTTTCTCTTCTTTCATCCCGAACCGAGAACCGGCAATCTATCTATGAAAATATTACTATCTATTAGTTGTTAAAAAATTCAGAAAAAATAATAATAAATAAGAAAAAACAGGGTAGAGAAGACTTTAAAGTACCCCTTGTATTATGGCGAAATTGTTGTTTGATTGCCAAGTTGTTTATGGCAGCCTGAGTAGTTGAATATTACGGAAAACCGATTGTGACGTAATCGGGTGCATGATTTTGCGAAATTTTGTATCATGGGATGTTTCGTAAGCGTTTTTGTGGTGTGCGTTGGTTTGATTCTTTAGACGGTAGAATGGCCGAATGTAGTAAAATTAATTTGAAGTTTCTGTACGATTTAGAGCGAAAGGGGAAAACAGCATTAATTGACTGGTGTGTAAATGAAGGTTTACTTAGTAGCCATTATAAATGTTCTGTATGTAGGAAGGATATGCATCTAGTCGAACATAAAAACTGTTTAGATGGATTTAAATGGGTTTGTAGGAAGAAAGGCTCAGATGGTCAGTATGTGAAGCGTTCGATCAGAAAGAGTACCTGGTTTGAAAAAAGTCATTTGAGTATGATTGATATTTTGATTTTTACGTGGCTCTGGGGGTACGAAGCGAACTGAAAATCATGGTAAGTGAATATTTGCTTTTCGTAGTGCTTAAATGTATAACATGTTTTTCCTTGTTTATGTTATTTTATTGTTTGGTTTAAAATGTATTTTATTGAGATTATGTATATTTTGTTTGCCCATATTGTAGAATTTGGTGCTCCTTTGACTTTTTAAGTGAAAATATATCGATGTGTACATGGACAAAGTAAAGGAAGTGCGCAATGCAAGTTTGTGCTATTCTGGGATTTTTTTTTTTTTATGTGAAAATAGGGCGACGTGTACATGGAGAAAGTTAAAAGAATGCACAATGCCATTTTTGTGCAATTCGGAGATTTTTTTTAAGTGAAAATAGGTCGATGTGTACATGGATAAAGTCAAAGGAGTGCGCAATGCCATTTTTGTGCAATTCAAGGATTTTTTTTCAAGTGAAAATAAGTCGATGTGTAGATGGATAACGAGTTTGTGCAATTGTTTGTCTTGTTATTTTGTCTTTGTGTAGTGACGATTTTTGTTGACAAAAATCGCTGCTTCGCAAGCCAAAATAACGAGTCAAAGAATTGCACTAAATGGGTATCCATGTGCCACCAAAAATCGCCAAGGGGTACCCTAAAATATACTTTTACCGAAAAACAATATAAATCTCCAAATGCGAACATCAACAGTGATAATTCAACAAAATGAACGCAAGAGGAATGATTACAAACTTCGAACAATCAATTAGGATAAATCCGCTGGGTTATCAGGTTTGAACTATTATCGCCAAAGTTGGCGATGTTTATATTTAACGGTTCTCTGCGGAAGTGCTTCCTCATTCTTATTTAATTTAACTTTATTTGTACTCAAAATCAAATTCATAATTTTTTGGCTTCGAGTTTTTACTGTTTTACCAAAGTAAAGATCTTTATACAAGAATTACCCCTGAATCGAATGCGCAAAATGCAGCAAAAAGTGCTTCAAAGAGTTATATTAAGTCTTATTTGAAAAAACTGTGACTTTCATAATTTCATCACTTATACAACGTATCACATTTAATAATTAAAAACAGGGTACAACTCTACATCTCTACTCTGATATACGCTTTAATTTCCCCAAATGTCGCGATATGTGTTCTGCGCTGGTTTTTGGCACGATTGCGTGTTCTATGGCAACCCTGTTGACGTTGAAAAATCTTTCGCTGGAGCTCGTTGATTCACATCATGCTCTGTGTCTGAGAAGATAGCGGGGGGAAAGATAAAATGGTAGTTGTTGAATTGAAGTTCGGCTAAAGGAAATATCTTTGTGGCTATCCTGTTGAGGAGTAGTGGGTATTTGGAAGAGTGGAAAGAGGATCTGGGAGATTATTTTTAATGGCAGTGCATGATAGAAGTAGGGATTTGTGATTTTATTTATTTGTGTACCATAGTATGAATTTTCTGGATAGTGTGTCTCGCTGTCATGTAAATACGATAGTGATTATGTGGCGGCATGTTAAAAGGCGGTACGAAATTGATATTTCTGCTATTCGAAAAAGCATTAATTCATGGTAAGTGCATTTTATTTTATCCTTGTTCTTATTTTGTAGAATGTTATGTTCATTGGTTCTTTAGTATGAATTTCTGTCGTTATTGTTGTTTTTTTAATTGTTTGAAATTTATTTTAGTTTATTTTGTTGTTTAGTGTCTAGACTGTGCAATTCGTAGATGTTTTTTAAAGTTGAAACAGTGTGTACATTTAAAGTGTACATGGTATTATTTGAAATTTATTGTTGTTATGTTATTTTATTAAAGCGAGGAGTGCGTAGATCGTAAATTCGTTCCTTGCCTAAATTGTACAATTTGTAGAATTTTTTTAAAGTTTAAACAGGATGCTGTGTACATGGTATTCTTTGAAATTTATTGTTGTTATGTTAATTTATTAAAGCGAGGTGTGCGTAGTTTGTAGATTCGTTCGTTGCCTGCATTGTGCCATTCGTAGATGTTTTTTTAAGTTAAAACATTTCGCTGTGTACATGGATTCTTGTCAAATATTTTTTGTTAGAAACTTTATGTTTTTGCTATCTAAATTTTTGTTTTTGTTTCGGATTTTTAGCTTAAATTGTGGGTTCAAAACGTAGTTTTTGCATGTGCGAAAACCGCGTTTTTGGAGACATTTTAGGCTAAAAGTTCGAAATGTAGACAAAAAATTTAGATAGTAATATGGCAGGCGAGAAATTTGGCGACTTGAGGGCGCATATCGGAGTAGTTCCAAAAACAATTATGTCATACAAACGTCATAGGTTTCAGTGTTAAAGTAAACCAGATCGTCCCTACTCTTTCTTGCGGACATGTGGCTGACGCGCGCCCCGCCCACTGGGTTAGTCTATCTCTTATAAGGTCCATGATGTGTTCAAGTATGCGTAAATATATGTACATAAGTTATGTGTGTGTGTACACACACACATCCATATATACACATAAACACGTGTATATATACATACATTCCTGAATCCGGTCTCGATAGCAGACGAATACCACATAGATAATACAAAAATAAAAGGAAAAAGAAGCATTACAGTACACTCATATTTAACAGGGGGCAATTCAAGCTCTTCTGCAGTAAATTCCTCTTGTGCGGAAGGATCTCCATCATAATCATAACCATCGTCCACTTCTGCCGGTTCTTCCATGTTTACTTCTATGATAAATAATCAAAGAAAATTGCCAGATTTCGAAGTAGATTTTATACACACGTTTGGGGAAAATAAATTTTTCGGACTATTCTTCAAATAAAATCAAGATCATACTATTCAAGTTCTAGGTCTCAACTACATAAGAGTTTTTACCTATAATTCAGGTGAGACCGAAAGCCGATCGCTTTTAGTTAAAATAAATAAAGGTGCAATTAGACAGGGTCGCCGCTTTTTCAGATGCCCCAGACTTTCCTTTCCCCATCGATGACGAATAGCTGATTTTCACTTTGTAATCGATTACGAAGTCTCGATACTTTGTTTACGTTTAAGAGTAAGTTTTGAGAATGCTGCCTTTTGACAATAGATGGCGCTGACCGTTGCCCTGGATTTCTGACGTCAGAATTATGTGTTGCTATCTTTGGCGAAATTTTCGCTCATGTTAAAATACAAGCTCTTGGCGCCATATTTTATTATGAATTTGTGCAACGTAACAAAATATTTGCAAGTAAAACAAACGTGACAGTATAAGAAAAGCATTCTGGTAAGTAAGGATTCTTTTTATTCGGGGTAGTATTTTTATATTGTCCATATTACGTACTTTTCATCAAAATTTTTTAATCATATTAATTGGAATAAATAAAACTTTTATGGTGAGTATAGATCGTTTGGCCTAGCATGTGTGTTCAATGCAATTAGTAGTGAAAGTGCTCACGCTATACTGATATTTAGACGTGTTATTTAATTTTTGGTTGAAACGTTTTCAGTTACCGTATATTTTGAAATTAGGAAATTACATAATTTCATATAGGAGGAGACATTAAACAAGATTTGCTTCTTAACATGCAAGAAGTTAATGCTATCTGTTGAATATTTAAGTTTTATCATTATAGCATTTAAGAATTATCTTGTCTCCAGCAGTTTTCGTAAACTAGCAGTTTGTTTTACAAAAATGCTGTTTAAAAGCGATGTAAATGTAAAAGCTAGTTATTCATAATATTTTTAGACTTTCATGTTGTTTCACCTAACATGAATTTCTTAAAATTGTTTAAACGTTCGCAAAAACAATCTTGTCGCAGCATATCAAAGATTTCTTTGGTTTGCGATGTAATTTTACTTATAAGTGGATTTCCTTGCTTGTTGTAACAATTTAGCATCACATTTTGATCAGATGAAAACTCGCTCATAGGCATTTCATATTTGTGGGGGTCAAAATGCGATGATAAATTTTAACATATACATTAAAAAAAATTTTTGAAAATTTAAACAAAATTGTTGCTAAAAATTTTTATGAACAAATCTAGAATACTACTGTGAAAGTGGGTATGGAACCTTTTTTCTCATAAAAAAATATGAAAAATTTTATAATAAGAGTGTTGGCTGTATTTTACTCATTGTAAATTTAGAAACAGTAGTATAATATTTATAATATGCTTTAGAAAGAACATGCATGACTGTAAATATATTATCGATTATTTGTTATATAAAATAGTTATTGTGTATGGTAATCTTGCTTCTTTTAAATTTTATAAAACTATTTACAAATGGTTAGCTGAATTGATAAGGCTCGTGGGCCAAATTCGGACCACGGGCTGTAGTTTGGAGACCCTGATATAGAGGGTAATGTTTTTATTTTATTACTGCTGTGTAGGTTTGCAATGTACTAACTCAGTCTGTTGTTCAGCAGTTGTTTTTAATCTAGATTGCAGAAAATCTATATTTGATTGAAATTTGATATTGCATAATTAAATTAGGTTAGGTATACTTACATTAGAGTAATGCACACCACATTGTACACCCTCCATCAATATAATATAAGAAATTTTTCTTTCATCATCTGTAAAGCTAAACTATAATTTAAATGACTTTATTATGCTTTTGTTCTAGCATTTATTATTTTAAATTTGCTTCCTGATAGATAATTAATGTTTGATTTAATAATAATAATTTAGGAAATAAATAAAAATGAAAAGACTGAATATTAGCCAGTTTCGACACATATTTGCAATTTTCTGTCAAATGTAAATAAGTAAATGAATATTTTGAATTCTGCATATTAATTTTTTCTCATTCTGTTATGCTTCTCAGAAATAAAATTGAATGTTTTCCTTTTCAAGCAGAGTTATAAACAGAAAATGAATGCTGAAAGTTAAGAAGACAAACATTTTTGTGTGTTTTTTCAGTGTATCTACATTAATTATATATTTTGGAATATATATGACTGGATATACAGACAGCTTGCATATTTTAAATTAGGTAAATGCTATTTACCGTGTAGTATTTTTTTCCCAATATTGCTATGATTCACTTATTTGTAACATGTTTGATGATCAACTATTTCTCTAAACCACAGTATGACTATTTATGATAAGCAGATCTTTCTGTTGGTAATGACTGTTGTGATAAGATTTAACATTTGATGATAATTTTAAAGCATCTCTTTAAAAATCTTTAAAATGTATTTTACAAGGAATTCACATATAAATTAAATATTAGCCAAAAAAAAAAAAAAGAGTTCTGAATTGTATAAAGAAAAGTGTAGAGGAAATGCCTGTATTTATTTCTAATGATCTTTCAGGTTTGAATCATTTTCAGAAATTTGCTAAATCAAGTTTAGTTTTGTGTGACCTAGAATGAAAGGCACCAATAATAAACTTGTTTTGGCAATGATGCTTATAAAATACCTCCTCCAAAAAAAGTGTTAAAAATTTACTTGTACTGTACCCTTGGCAATTTTTTAAAAAAACTTGCCAAATCCAAGATGGCATTAAAATGCTGTCTTAACAGATAGAGAGGAATAAATAACCAAATATATAAATTTTGAATGATAATAAAATAACAATTTTAATTTTTGTAACATAAATTTTCTGGGCCATTCCTGACGGGTAGCTGGACTCTAAAATTTTATTAAGTATTGAGCACTTTTTTAATTTGAGGGGCGACAATCTTAGGAAAGTACACAGGCAGCCAATGGCCTAGGAACAGCACTGTAAATTTCGCTTCGATAACTCAAACAACATATTTCCTTTCACACAATTTCATATCATGCTACACATAGGACATTCATATCTCTCAGCAATTAAACCAGCTTTCATGCAAAAATAAAATGTCTGTCATCCATCATCTAACCTATACAAAAATCTCAAATTTACAATTTCATCATACTATAACCCGTCAACATTCATCCTTGTACTTACTTCAGCCATACTTAACATTAGCACACATACTCAAATGATGGTACCCAGAACAAATTAACACAGCATTATCAACATTAGGGCTTCCAAAAACATGTTTGGTACAGCAAAGCTTCCAGATTTGATAAAAAACCAAACCCTTGGCGATTTTTTAAGAAAAACCAGGGAGTGCCGTACAATAAAGATTAGCCAAAAAAGTTGTCACTGTTATGAAAGAATGAATGAATAAATAATTGTCAGTATTATATAATATTGTAATAACAATTGATGTATTTTATGTATTTTGTTTATATATATTAAATTTTGCATAAGATTCTCATTTTCTTTAATTCCTCAGAGATAATTTTCTTTAATCTTATTTTTAATCATTATAAATATGTTATTTAGCTAATTTGCAGCATTAGTGCAAATTATGAATTTTATGTCTGATTTGAACATTTTGAATTACTTATATATATTCTATATACACACACACATACACAGCAGCCATTAAGATTGCTGCACCATGAAGGTTGCATGTACCAATGAGAGATTTGCATGAAAAATACTGTATGCTGGGAGGTGCAAATGATAAGCGTTCCAGCGCATGTACATAAAGTAGGTATGAGTAATCTACATTGTGTGTATGAATAGAAAGACTTGTGTGGGAATTATGTATGAATAGAAAGACTGCATGGTGAGAGTTTCTCATTCAGAAATTTCATTTTAATGTTGGTGGTTTGTGTTAAGGTTATGTTATGCCTCACGTAAAAAGAAGAAACTTCTATCAGCATCTGTTAAATTTTGACTGCCACAGAATTGTGGTTTATTGTTCCATGATAGTACTGGTTGAGATGCTATGATTATTAAGCTAATATGGAATTGATGGGTCCAGGAGGGCTAGACTAAATGTCATGCAGGATTTCAGTGGCTCCAATCCACTAGCACCCATGAGAACAGATATATCATCTCAGCATTTCAGGATTGTACAGCAACATGTTTTCCTAGGAAAGGAATGTGGTTTCTATGTAGGATGACAAGTGTTCACGCTGAAATCTGAAGCATCAGGGACTGTCAGCACAGCAACCATTGCTGTTGCTTACCTTGATGCTTACAGCAGACACAGGTTCATCTGCAATGGTATGATGAATGACAACACTGGATACAGGAGTTGTACCACATCGTCTTGTCAGATAAATCGCAGTTATGCATACAGCATCATGATGGTACATGGAAGCACTGAGGAGAATGAACGTAGATAGCTTGCATTTGTCATATGGGCCCAGCATCTGGTTTGCTACTATAGAATGCCATTGGATACATATGTCACTGATGTACTGTTCACATGACCAATAATGTGGATAGCCACCGTTACTATTTTTGTGTGTAAGGCGATGTCTAAGCTCTATCTTCAAAGTCATCATCATGGCTTCGAAGATAGAGCTTTGGTGCTTGAATAGAAAACAAGTCAGTAAGTTTACAACTGCTTTTCCCATTTTAATCGATTTCATCAACAAGCTCTTCATCAAATAAATTGAGATATTTTATTGGCTTGTCAATCAAAAGAAGATTTTGTTTATTCATTTTTCGTTTCAAAAAATGCAAAAATTGTATAAAATGTGTATCAAACATAACAAGTTCTGCAGATATGAAAATTGTGCCAAAGCTCTCAAAACGTTGTGATTAGTGCCATCTTGTAGAAATTTATGAAAAACAATATTAGAGACTGATATGCAAAGGTTATAAATAAGTCACAAGAATGGTTGCAGCAATTAAAAAAATTATTGGGTAGAGGGTGAGATATCTTGTCTCTAGTGCACAACGGATAATCTTGGAAGATGAAACATCTCATCCATCATGGCAAAAGTGTTAAAAGAAGAAACATTTCATTTTGCATGTTCTAATATGCTAGTAGTTTTCAAGCCATTGGCTTTTAGAATTTAGAAAACAAGACAGTTGCAATAGCATATTTCTATTATGTGCAGGTTGAGTACTAGAAGCAAGAATGGAAGAAAGTCTAAAAAAAGTATGAGTCATCAAATAAAGA